AAGGTTGGGCAATCCTACTTCCGTAGTGATACTGCCTCGAAAACCCAAGGAGGGGTCGCTATGAGTCGGGGCCGACTCGACGGCACATAACAGCACATAACAACAACAACAACATTAATTACATTAAATATACTTGGTCTAGGCTTAAGATGGAATAAGCACACTCCATATTGTATTTCCCACTGAAAGCAACTATAAACACTAGAAACAAAGCAGAGTGGAACTGCCCCATAGGGTTTCCAAAGCTGTCAATCTTTAGGGAAGCAGACTGCCTCATCTTTCTCCCATGGTGCAGATGGGGGGTAAACCACCCACCATTTGGTTAGCAGCTGAGTGCTTTAGCCACGGAGCATCAATAGCTAGACAGGCACCAAAAACTCTTGAGGGAGGTGAATCCTTTCTCTGATAAGATTTTAGGTCCAAAAAGTCCGGGAGGAAGCCCTTTAGCTATTTTTCTCTCTGTCCTCATACTGGGAATCCCTAATGGAAACAGGTAAGGGGTTCAGCTGCTAACCAAAAGGCTGGAGGTTCTCTTCACTCACAAGTGCCTCAGATGAAAAGCCTGGCAATCTACTTCTGAATCATCAGCCATTGAAAACCCTCTAGAGCTCAGTCCTACTCTGACACACACGGAGTCGCCATGAGTCAGAGTTCACTTACTGGCAACTGGCTTAAGGTTACACAGTTGGACACTGAAAAGTAAAGACCAGAAGTTATGAAATTGCACTATGGAATCTGTAGTCTTTAAGCAGGGCCATAGGGAGGGTAATGAGCACCTGTGGCAATCTCTAATTGTGCAAGCCCTACCCAATTTCCAGATGAATAGATGACAGGGGAGAATGTGGTAGCAGAAATGCCTTCCCCCCTTGTCCATCTGCTGCTGTCAAACGCCTTTCCTATTTGTGGAACCTCATCTGGCATCCCCTTGGACTTGCACCTCGGGGCAAGTACTCCCCTCTGTTGTCCCCCTTACCCCCAGTTTTGAGTGGCTACCCTGCTTGAAGAAGGACACTGGGCCAGACCAGGTTAACAAAAACTGTTAAGTGCTGCACCACTCCAAGTGGCAGTGAAGGCACGTGTCGTATCTGCCACACCTTAGGTATGGCTCCGGGTTTAACCAGCTTACAAGTATTGCTCCTGAGAAACAAGGATGTGGGAATGCCATAATGGAGGAAAGGTCAGAGACTGGGCAAAGATGCCGGCTCCTGGGAGGAATCAGCTCTCAAGACACCCTGGAACTTGGGCAGGCAGAACCCAGATGAGTAATGCCCAAAGACAAACCCCAAATTGGGTTTGGTTTTTGTCATGTTCCTTCTTTCGGCTTTTAGTACCTAGAGCACAGAGTCCTTTTTGCCTTATGAGAAACAATATGGAGTAGTGAGAAGATAAATGAATTAAGAGAGGCCTGCCTTAGGCTAAGAATGAGAGCAGCGAGGGTTCTAGATGAATTCACACTAGATGACTAGTCCCAGTCCTGTCACTTACTAGCCCTATGACCTTGAGCGAATTGCTAAGGGCTATGAGCCTTGGTTCTTCATCTGTGAAGTGGGTTTGATAAACCTTCATGTACAACTGTTAGAATGTATATAATATATTAATAAAACACCTGGTACAGTGCCTGGTATATATTGAGTATTTCATGATTGGCAGTTATTTCTAGTATTATTTTGACCACAGACACTACAAAAAAAATAATATAAAAACCAAACCAAACATACTACTGCCCACTTTTATTTTTACAAAATTCAGGATAACTCAGAGAATATGAAGCTCAATAGGGTACAGAATATAAAACCAATAAAAAAAATGCTGTTATTTGTTCTAAATTTAAATTTAGTAAATTTTCCCATGTAGAGGATGTATTTTATTTAGGAGTATAGTTGTGTGGGAGATCTTTCCCAGCTGGGCACAACCCCAAGTACCTAGAATCTAAGTATCGACTGCTTCCCTCCTTTTCCCAGCCACTCTCTTCTATCCAAACCATCTTTTCATCCATTTCACCCCTACCCAAAACTTCTTAGAAATGGCCAAATTGGACCAAGATAACCTACTTCAAATGTCCTCTAAATAGAGTATGCCCTGGCTGTCTCAGGCCAGAGAAAAGGGTGACAGGCTAGTGGTTTCTGGGCACCACTTCAAGAGACTATCACATTTAATTCTCAGGAATCCTTGCAGATGATGTAAAAACATGTAGCTAGCTGTCCACTATATTCAACTGCACTGGGACAAGAGCATAGGACACCTTCCATACCTGCCCAGGTAGAGATTACTCTCTAGTTTGTCCAAGATCCAAATTCTTTTTCAGACTTTTTCTCAACTCTAAAGCACACTACCTGAGGCTCTGGCCCTGCCCCCATCAGCTTAATTTAAAATTACCTCTGACAGAAGGAATTAGTTTCTCAGAGCCCCAAACTGCCTAGCTTAGGGCATTAATACTTGACTGCTCTCATCCTAAGGAGCTCTGGTAGCATAGTGCCTAAGGCACTTGACTACTAACCAGAAGGCTGTCGGTTCAAACCCACCAGCCACTCCTCGGAAGGAAGATGGAGCAATCTACTTCTGTAGTAATAATTGCCTCAGAAACCCAAGAAGGGCTCACTATGAGTTGGGTCCAACTCGATGGCACATAACAACAAGCTCTCATCCTGAGGAATCCTTTCCCCCATTGCTTCAAGCTTTCTTTTACTTAGTCTTTAGGTCTTAAAGGTTGTCTTACCATCTTGCTAATATGACTCTACCATTTAATGTGTGGGGGTTCATCTTGCTTATCCTAGGATCCCCACCAACTCTAACATCATGTCTTCCACGGAGCAGATGCTCAGTTCATGGCCTGGAAATAAATGAGCCAGTAAGCAGGTTTTTTCATTTATTAAGATTTAATTTCTCCTACAATCATGACTAAGCCAAGCTAATATATTTTTAATTTCACAGAACAGACTGAAAGCCATAAGGAAATCCAAAAAGTAATCATCTTCTACCTTTTCCATTTTACTGCTAGTTTTTTCTTTTACATTGCCAAGAAAATTCCTATTCTAATTCCTTATTCACTTATTATAGAACACAAATAAGATGGCAGGTCTCCCAATCTCTTTTAGAAAATAACAAAATTTTCCCTTAAGCTAGATAAACAGAAATAAATGACTAATGGTGTCAGTGGTGGTTCAGTGCTAGAATTCTCCCATACATGCAGGAGACCCAGGTTGGATCCCAGACAGTGCACCTCATGGAGAACCAATATCCATCTGTCAGTGGCGGCCTACATGCTGCTATGATGCTGAATAGGTTTCAGGGGAGCTTCCACGCTAAGATGAACTAGGAAGAAAGGACTACAATCTACTTCCGAAAATCAGCAATGAAAACCCTATGGATCACAAAGTACCAAGGGGCAAACTGTCATGGGGATACCTCAGAATCTGACAGAACCTTTGGTTGCCATGAGTCAGGGGCTGACTGGATGGCAGCTAATGGCAACAATGTCATTCACAAACTTGGATTCTGAGATAATTAAATTTGCTGTTAAACGAACAGCATTTGGCAAATACCAAAAAGCAAAAAGATAATCATTCAAGTCACCCATATAGAAGAGAAAGAGAAAGATATGTATTCCTCCAGCTCTACCCTAGCCTTCCAGTACTTAAAACACTGACTGCCCTCTTCAAACAGAGTGAAGACTCTGCTTCAGTCTCTACTAGGGGTAGGAAAAGCTGATGGACGGGGCATTGGCACTTGAACTGGCTATGGCAGTAGTAGTATCCATGGGGGAAATTCTTGCCTTGGCTCGCTCTTCCTCATCTCTCAGTGCCTCCCAATACCAGACTGGGAAGTCATGTGGGATGCTACCATTGACCTTGGTCAAAAACTCTAGGACTTTCATCTTGCTGGTTTCTGCAAGGGCTCTTGGACCCCACAGGAATTCATAGCAGGGAGGATCACTGTTGGGCACCTGCCGGTACTCAAGGTACTTTTCTTGCACCAAATCTCTGGTGATAAACTGCCTGGGCTCCCCATAGATAACATGCTCCCTCCCAGCATACACCCCTGTTGCATTCAGCACTTTCCATAGCTTCTCCTCAGTGACAGAGTTGCCCTCCATGAAGATCAGACTCAGGGTAAGCATCAGGAGTCCAGTCTTGGGCATGCCCTTGTAATTATTCAAGATCCCATCATAGGTGAGGTCTAGAGTATTATAGAAGACATAAGAGTTTCCAGTGGGATCTTCTCTCTTAATATTGATGCCAAACACAAGCTCTATGTAATCACAGGCTTTCTTGAATATCATAGGGAAGCCATCCTCATACTGTTTGAGGACAGTGGTCAGCATTTCTGCCTTTGTGATGGGCTGTTTTGTTTGATACTTGAGGAGCAGAAACTGTACCATATTAACTACGATATCATCTGTTGGATCTGTGAGCAGGGACTCGATATTTGGCTTGCCCTGCCAGGTGCTTGGACTCTCCCCTTTATGGGTGCTGGAACCGTTATCTAATGTGCTCAATGAAATAGAAGAAGTTACCTGACAACTCTGGGGAGTATGCATGGTCTCAACAGCATATACATCCTCCATGGTTTCCAGAAAAAGAGGAGAGGAAGAGCTACAGAGGTTGGTAAAATCTAAGGAGGAAGATGAAAATGGAGACTCCATCTCCTCTTCAGCTGCTGGAACCTCTATATCCCATGCCTCAGTTTCATCCTGAAGGTCTTGGTCAAGTGTGTAGCACTGACGCTTTGGAGTAGGAGAATGAGACATGATGGTTCTTTGTCAGGGGTAGCACACAGGAGTGTGGGCAGGAGGGTGGGAGATGGGAGTCCACAAACCTAGTGGAAAAAGGGACAGTGTGAGGAACCTCAGTTGAAAAAATCAACCTTGGCAACTCTGGCAAAGGCCAACTTACAGGTCAGGTCTTCTGTTTAGGTCTTCCTCCAGGACCTCGTGTCTCCTGTCTTCTTGGTAAGCCTGTCCCATAAAACATGGAAGAAGTGAGAGGGCTTCCTCAGGGTGCAGCCTGCTGACACAGCCTGAGGTTCCAGGGATTACAGTCAGGCAGATGGAGTGGGTACAGGGTCTTGATAGACATTCAGTGTCCTTACCTTGACTCCTGGCAGTGCCTGGGTCTCCTCAACTCTGCTAACCTGAGGATGTGTGCCTGAAACCAACACCCCCACCACCTTCCAGTTCCTTGAGAACCTGTGAGAAGAAATGCGAAGGCAGATGAAGTTATGGACTGCATGTAGTCCTGGGCCTCCCAGTGCTGGCATAAGGGATGGAGCTGGACATTGTGAGGTCCTTACAGTTCAAGAGTAGGTGATTTCCTCAGTGTTAACTCAGGGTCCTCACTTCTCCTGGCAGGGTGTGTTCGGTGGTCCAGACCCTACTCTTCTGCTGACCTGAGGCAAAACTCTCAGAACAAGAGCTCACATTCCTCAGACTCATGAAAACTGAGTGGGCCCTGGGTCTTTCTAGGGGTGACAGCAGGGGGTAGGGAAGGAACATGGTCTCATCTCTTTTGGAATGGAGGACAGTTGTCTCCCTCTCTCAGTGCTTACACTGATGTATGGATGGGACTGGAACTTTGGGACCTCAGTCCAGCCCCTTTAGGCAAGGGTCTCACCTTACTGAGAACACCAGGATGGGAGTGAGGGTCAAGCACAAAGATTTAGCCACTAAGTTCCAATGCCTCCCAGGACTGTTAGCAGGGGCAGGGAAGGGCTGCAGGCCCATCTATCCTAGTTTTTGAGGGGGTTCCCCTCAGTCTTTCCTCAAGGTCTGTATTTTGGAGCCTAGAACTCCTCCTTGTGCTATCTTGATATGGCTTTCTCTGCTGACCTGATGTCACTCCCTCAGACCAAGGCCCTCACCTCCCAAGACCGCGAGGTTTCCAAGTAGTGACAGCAGGATCTAGACTTATGTTCCGAGGTGAAGCGTATTCTTAGTTCTTCTTCAGGTTATTTGTTTATCTTTACTCCTGGCAGGGCCTTGGTCCCTTTTGGCTTTATGTTGCCCCCTCAGGTCAAGGCCTCAACTCCTTGAGATATTCACCCCACTCTATCTTAGGCAGAAGCCAGAGCTCACTGTATCTGGCCACCTCTGCCTGGGTCCTCTAAGGCAGAGCAGAGCACAGGGAGACAGCTGGATTCTGTGGGTACCTTTATTTTCTGGAGTGAGGGTTACTTCTGATTCTCACCAAGGTCCTTCACTTGACTCCCACCAGGGGTAGACCCTCAATCCTTCAGCACCCTGACCTAACTACCACAGAGCCTTGGAGTCTTCCCTCTGCTGAGCTATTGTGGCTCAGTCTTCTGACCTGGTGTAGTCTGTTCTGGTATCTCTTCAGACAAGAGCCCTCACACCTCCCTGAGACCCTCAAAGCAAAAGTGAGGAGGCCACTCCTGTTTGGGATCTCCCACTGCTAGCAACAGAGTTGTACTGTGTGTGTTTCTGTAAGGCTCCCTTTGGGATAGGAGTATCCTCAGTATCTCAGTTATTTGTATTCCTCATGACAGAGCCTGGACCCCTTCCCTTCTGCTGGCCCAAGGGTCTGTCTTTCAGGCCACGGCCCCCATTTCCCCGAGACCCTCAAAAAGGAAGTGAAAGCCAGTGCTACTGCTCGACAACCCTGCCCAGGGATTCACAGCACTAACAGCAAGGACAGATTTCTGTGGGGTCATTAAGTCTTTCCTTAGGGTCTTTACCTGATCTCCTGGCAGAGCCTGCACTACTCCTTCTGTTGACATGCCTCTGGCCCCCTCAGATGTCGCTACACCTCCTCAGTCTGTTAAAGTGCAAGTTGGAAAACACCCCATCCAGGAACCCTGTAGTGGGCTTCCCAGGGCTGATGGCAGGGGTGGGGGTTGAGGAAGTACAGAGGAAGGGTGGGTGGCACTGGGAGGAAGGGCGGAAGGAGAGTGGCACACCAGAGGAGGGGACGGGTGCTGAGTGGACCTCTCTGGAGCCTTCACTTTGATGCCTGGCAGGGTCTGGACTTCTCCTTCTGCTGACTGACCCCTCAGATGAAGCCACAAGTCCCTAAGATGCCCAAGATGCATTTCAGGAAAATTCACACACGAGACCCTGCCTGTGACTTCCCAGGGTTGATGGCAGGGGCAGGGTGGTACTGTGAAACTTCTCTCAGGGGTAGGGGTGGGATGGCCTCAGTATTCCTCAACATATTTACTTCTGAAAGGACCCATACTCCCTCCTTTCTGTTGACCTGAGACTGCGACCCTTGGCCCAAAGCTTTCATCTCCTTGAGACTCTAGAGGAGAAGGAAGTGAGGCCTGTGCTTCTGTCTAGCCAAAACCCAAACCCACTGCCATCGAGTCTATTCTGGCTCTTAACCACCCTATAGGGCACAGAACTGCTCCATAGGGTTTCTGAGGCTATAAATTTTTACCAAAGCAGATTGCCTTATCTTTCTCCCCCAGAGCAGCTGGTGGGTTCGAACCACTGACTTTTAAACAGGAGCCCAGTGCTTTAACCACTGCACCAGCAGAACTCCTTTCTGTCTAGCATCAGGAGGGAATTTCTGTGGGGTCCTTCTGGGGTGGGAAGTTCCCACAATCCTCCCTCAAGGTCCTTACCTTGCTCTCCAGGAGGGTCTTCACAGCTTCTTTGCGGACCTGACTCTGGTTTCCTCTGATTAAGCCTCCTTCCCTCAGATGCCTAAGGTGCAAGTCAGGAAACACCACATCCAAGGATTCAGTGTAAGGATTCCCTGGGTCGAAGGCAGGGGCAGAGCAGAGCCCACAGCCTCACCTTGGCTTTGGGGATGGAGCGGTGTGGCTCAGCCCTTCTCAACAAATTTACTACTGAAAGAGCAGCCACTCCCTCCCTCCTGAGGCTGTATCCCTCAGCCTAGACCCCCATGTCCTTGAGACAATAGCAGGGTAGGGTGGGGCTGAAGGAGCTAGAAGGAGACTGGTTAGTGTGAGGGGGAGGGAAGAGGCGCACTGGGTGGAGGAAGCCTCCTTTGGGTCCTCCCCTTACCCACCCTCATCCTGCCCCCACATACCCGCCCCCCCGGGGGGCGTGAACTCCCCCCTCTCCCTCTACTGATCGGACATCAACTCCTAAGATGAAGCCCACATCCTTCAGATGCCCAAGCTGCAAGTCAGGAAAATTCACATGAAGACCCTGCCTGGGGCTTTCCAGGCTGAAGGGAAGGAGGAGGGGAGTAGAAGACTCTAGGGAAGCCACTGGCAGGGAGGAGGGTAGTATGAGGGGCTTCCGTCCTCTTTCAGGGCCTATCCCTTGCCCCTGGCAGGGCCTGGACCCCTCTCTCTGTTAAGCGACTCCTGGCCCCTCAGACACAGCCTTAGCTCCTCAGAGCCCCAGGGTCCAAGTGACGAAACTCCACATCAGGGGACCCTGCCAGAGGCTTCCAAGGACTGACAACAGGGGCAAGGTGGCACTGCGAACCTTCTCTCAGGGGTGGGTGGTGGGGTGCCCTCAGTCCTTCTCAACAAATATTCACTCTTGAAAGGACCCACACTCCCTCCCTTCTGTTGACCTGAAGCTGCAGGTCTCTGCCCAAAGCCCCCAACTCCTTATGACCATGAAGAAGGAAGCCAGGGTGGCGCCACCGTCTGGCAGCAGGAGTGAGTTTTTGTGGCGCCCCTTCTGCAGTGGGAAGCCCCCAAAATCCTCCCTCAGGGTGTTCACCTTGCCCTCTGGCAGAGCCTGGACCCTTCCCTCTGCTAACTCAACTCTGGACCCCTCAGACGAAATTGCACATTCCTCGGATACTTCAGGCTTAAGTCAGGAAGCACCATATCCGAGCACCCTGCCTGGGGCTTTCCAGGGTTGACACCAGGGGTGGGGCAGAGACGCCAGCGTTGGATTTGGGGTGATGGGGTGCCCTGAGTCCTTCCCAACATATTCACTCCTGAAAGGGTCACCACTCCCTCCCTTCTATTGACCTGAGGCTGCATCCCTCAGTCCAAGATACTTATGTCCTTCAGACATGGTGGTGCCTCTGCCCCAGGGATTGCAGGACATTTTTTAGGGTGGGGGTCCCCTCTGGGTGGGAGATCACCTCAGTCCTCCCTCAGGGTCCTCACCTTGACCCTGGCAGGGCCAGGACCCCTCTCCTGCTGACAGACTCTGGCTCCCTCAGAGAAAGCTATGTGTCCCTCAGACACCCGCAAGTCAGGAAACTCAACATCCAGGGACCTTGCCTGGGGTTTTCGAAGGCTGACTGCAGGGCCAGGGTGGAACTGCAAACTTCCGTCTGGGTTTGAGGGGGCATTATCAGTCCTTTTCAAGGCATTATATATATACTCCTAAAAGGGCTACCACCCCCTGGCTTCTCTGACTTGAGACTGCACACCCCTCCAGACACCACCTTTATCTCCATGAGATATGGAGAAGGAAGTAATGCTTGCCATTACTACCTGGGGCCTCCCTGTGCTGACAGCAGGTATAAATTTGTTTGGGGCTCCATTTGGGCTAATGGGTGGGGACTACCCACTCTCATGGCCATGAGACACTACCCCTCAAGAGAAAGTGAAAGGTGGTGTCTCTGCATTATAGCTCTGCCAGGAGGCTCTCAGGATTGACATCTGGGGCAGGGTTCTGTGAACCCCACCTCTGTCTGGGGTGGGAAATTCCCTTGATCCTCCAGGGTCCTCACCTTGATGCCTGGTAGGAGTTGGGACTCCTCCCTCTGGTGACCTGAGTCCAACCCCCTCAGACCAAGACCGTCACCTTCCTGAGACCATCTTCCCCAGTGCCAAGTCAGAAAATACCAC